CTAGGAATTACTCTTAACTTCTCTGAAAATTCTAAATGAACTTTGGGAAGTGAAAATTTGGAACTAGAAAACACCTGCACAAACAGAGTACACTTTGAGATCAGGCATTTTCACATTACTGTCCTACCATATAGAAGCCAACCTCTAGGTAACTTTCAAATGTGTACCTTAGTTCTACAAGAAAGTCATACAAAACTGGTGTTATCAGCATAAAAATCATTTTCTAACAATAGGTAATGACAAACTGCATGTACAAGGGTATTTAGAAGTTTACAGAAAATATAAATTGTCAAAATGGTAACATCTGTGTTTCCGAGTTAAAAATACCAAAACCTGAGTCTGGATCATCATTTTAGTTTGGCACATTTAGAATGATTAATACGCTAAAATTCAGCACTCACTATGAAACCAGTCTTTGCACAGTTCACACTGAAGCATCTGGTTTGTCAGAGGTCGACGACATATACAGTAACGAGCATCACCAGTGTCCTCTGTTCGTTTCATTACATTTTTCTTCCGCAATTTACCCATAGCCTCTACTTCTTTTTGTTCAGCCAACTTGAATGCTGCAACCTGAAAATAACAACTTATTTCACTAATCTTGAATCAAACATCACAAAGACTAATTGATAATGGTGGAAAAATACAGCATTATACAACTCCTCTAGATGTAATGCACTCAAGTAGTAACAACTAAATTCTATAATGAAGTTGAAACTTAAATCATCAGTGTTTCATGGTGAAAGAGACTGATGCTACGAGTCCACACAGAAGATTAAAACAAGCAGCAAACAGCCTGCAATAAACTGTATATTTCTTATGCATTTATTTGTACTGTTCTTGGATCCAACTGTAGGGTTCTCTAAACTAGAGGTCTTGGATAAGATACACCAGTTTACTGTTTATTTTATCTTTTTCTCAAAGCTAACCCAAAGCCTACTAAACTTACTCTATCAAGGCTTTGGTTAACTTCTTGTTAAGATATAGCTTAACATAAGAAAATGAAAAACTACCACTTAAGCCATCAATTTGCTTATATACTTCAGTATGTTTCTTTGTTTGTTTTGAATTTCGTGCAAAACTACGCAAGGGCTATCCACACTAGCCGTCCCTAATTTAGCAGTGTAAGACTAATGGGAAGGCAGCTAGTCATCACCACTCACTTCAATATGCTCCCTTTTTACATACAGAATCAATAAAAACAAATTATGCATAATACATGTCAAGTTCAAAATGAAAGATTTGACAAAAACAAAAACTCCAATTTATAATGGTCTTACTTCTTTCATTATACAGGTCTTCATGACTTACAATTTCAGCTGGATCCCTGTCGTTTTCTAGTAGCGTATCAAGAAAAGATGATTCTTCCCTATCCTTGTCATATTCCACATTCCCTTCCTTTGTTTTCTTTTTTTATTCTTATGAAACAAGTATGTGCCCACATCTTTTCTGGGTGACAGGACCTTTAATACGCACAAAAAAGGCATACAATAATGTTTGAATAAAATGAAAAAGAAAAATCAGTTATAAACAACAACACAACACAAAACACGGTAAATGATTCTTTTTAAAATCTATATACACATTAACAACTTCTTCTTCAGACAAGAATTATGGGTAATTCCAAGAAAATTTTCTATTTAATCAACAAAAAACAACAAGAAATGGTAATTAACTAGAGAAAGTGAAACTGAATAACAATAGAAGGTTCACTATATATTAAAAATAATCATTGATAAAATGATATATGTTTACTTTCTCTTGTCTTGGCTAATTTATTCAGAACATCTGTATACAATTACTTTACACTGCCAACTTAACAGAGTAAAAGGGTTAATTTAGAATCATATAGAAGGTATTTTATTCAATAATTAATTTTTATTTTATTAACCTTACATATTTGTATATATTACAAAAATATAACTGTTAAGTCTAACTCATTTCTCAGCACAGCTCAAAGATCAAGTTAGTATTTTTTCAATGAAATTGCAACAGAATCCACACCATTTAGTACCATACCTCAGGTTGACAGATAAGGTTGATCATCAAAAAAATTAACTGAGCTAATGCATTTAAGGATTTAAGTTCAAAATACTTTGAACTGTTAAAGCAGTTAGTTACTCTTTTTTTGAAAGAACCAGATTTTGTGGTTTATTATATAATTTTAAGACTTAATAAAAAACGTTCCTTCAAAATACCACCCAAATCTAAGTAAATGTTTTTTTTTCCAATATACTGCAGTTAAAGATGAAAAACAAAATGTATTTGAATCTTCAGCAATGGCCAGAGAAAATGTGACAACTATCACAGTTAAGTAAAGTCTGTGTCAAAGGAGCCATGAGCATCAATATAATAGTACGTAAACTTTTGTTTTTAAAAATAAGAAACAAATCTTGTAGGTTACATGCGTAACAAAAGCAAATAGGTGGGAAAAGAGAACATTTCTGTTAAAAAAACTGGTAAGACCCACTGATAGCAATGGAAGCTAATAAAACAGCATGGGATTTGCAGGCAAATGATAGAATAAATAGATGGAGAGCCAACAAAATTATTGCAAACAGTAATAAAAATGTCTATAAATCTAATGTTCTTATGGACACATAGTACATAAGACAGAATGTGCTTATCCTTCTATGAAGCAGTTCATAAAGCCTTTATATAAATAGGCCAAGATAAGTCTTAGCAGACCCCGTATTTAGAGTATAAATGAGTATTCCAGGGACAATTATGAAAAAACATCAGGAAAGAAGAAAAAAGTGCTTTTGTTTTTTTAATTAAGCATAAAGCTACACAAGGGCTATCTGTGTTCTGCCCACCACAGGTATCGAAACCCAGTTTCAAGCGTTGTAAGTCCGTAGAGATACTGCTGTGCCAGTGGGGGGGCAGAATAAAGTGAAAAAGCTTCAGTTCCAATTCACAAATGGTCCATTCACGCTCTTGGAGACCATGTTAACTGCTGTATATCAGATTGTACTAAATTTGGACTTCTGAAAGATGACAATCTCTGTGCTAATCACTACAACAGTCAACTGTTCATGGGAGTTGTACTTTGTAAAAACAACCCATAACTACATTTAGTATTTTCTACTAAAAAACATGTTTTATCATGTGAAAACAGTGTTTTCATTTACTGCTTTAGATGTAAAAATATATGTTAAGACTTACATGAAATATTAGTACAGAAAAACAAATAACATCTCCAGAAAGTTGACAATGGATCTAAAGCAACGCTAATAATGCTTGAAGATGGCTTGAATGGGTAATGAAGAGAAACTTTAATATAAGTTTAATATAACAGCAAATGTACAATGTTTCAACAAGGTTTTGATGACAAAAACACTATGATTATGATACATTTTATCATAAACCTTGTACTATACCAATTATTTTATTTCAGGGCCATGTGTATTCATTTAAATTTTTAACACACATTTTTCAAACAAAATTATTCTCTAAACAGTACATGTAATCCAAATTATAAGACAGCACTGTTCCCATTGCATGCCAAGAAACACCATGTTCACATCTTTATGTCACAACAACATATATTTTACAATCTTCCTTCAAACCTGTTAAAATTCTTTACATCTAAGTGCCACCCTTGATATTTTTAATATTAAATTATTTTTACCAATTAATTAAATTTAATAGTTTCAAAAAATATGCAATATGCCGTTTTTTCAGATGTTCACTGAGGCATTTGATGAATAAAGTGTTATAAACATATTAAATAGGCTGTGAAGAAATTGTTAAAGATGTACACAAAAACATAAAAAAAAACTCAGTAAAAAATTTCTATAATTGTTCCATGAGAAAATTCTAAATATTAAAAGTATAATTCAATTTGAATAGGATTAGCTTTCTTGCCATTAAATATTCTTACCTCAAGAAGAGTAAACACAGAGTTTTTCTTCAAAAAAGTGCGAGCAGTCCTTTCCCGAAGTGTACTGGCTGCAGCCACCTGGGACTCCAGCTGCGGCAGCAATTCTAGATGAACAGGGAGTGGTCGACTTCTTGTTATTAAATCTTCAAGTACTTCAACATATGGATATTGGTTTGCATTCTAAAACAACAATGCAGGAAAATAAATGTTAACTTTTCAATCTTGCACATGATACCTGATAAAGGATCTTAAATGTATGCCAGTTACAAAATTAATTGTTAATACTAACAATTATTAGGTACTATATCTCCTTCATTAAAAACTGCTGATGGAATATTTAATGTTAATGAAGCAAATATTAACAATTATTAAGTACTTTACCTCCTTTATTAAAATCTGCTGATGGAATATTTAATGTTAATGAAGCAAATATTAACAATTATTAAGTACTTTACCTCCTTTATTAAAATCTGCTGATGGAATATTTAATGTTAATGAAGCAAATATTAACAATTATTAGGTACTTTACATCCTTCATTAAAATCTGCTGATGGAATATTTAATGTTAATGAAGCAAATATTAACAATTATTAAGTACTTTACCTCCTTTATTAAAATCTGCTGATGGAATATTTAATGTTAATGAAGCAAATATTAACAATTATTAGGTACTTTACATCCTTCATTAACATCTGCTGATGGAATATTTAATGTTAATGAAGCAAATATTAAAAATTATTAGGTACTTTACCTTCTTATTAAAATCTGCCAACAGAATATTTAATGTAGGTGAAGCACAAGATTCTCTGTTCACATAAATTATTTCAATTAAAAAATTAACAAAAAGTAAATAGAAAATGTCTTATAAACAGGACACTATTTTTTGTTATAACTATGTGGGTCAGCTAGAAACTAATAGGTAACTATTTTATAAAATATAAATTATTCTAGGTAAAAGAAGCTAAACCAACACACTAAGCTTTGAAGTCAAAAGCAGTAACTGAGTCTTGAAGCAGTTTATTAACATATCTTTATAACTTAGCTTGGCATAACCTATCAAAACAGTTACTAAGCACACACCAATTTCAATCTATTAATCCTTTCCAATAGTATCTTCTGTCACAAAAACAGCTCAAAAATATTGTTACATCAGTTAAAAAGAAAAAAAACCTAATTATTAAAACAAACATATGATCAAGTGATGTTCACTCAAGTATTGATTGAAAAGTGGACTTCTTCCAGCCACCAGCATGAAAATGTGGCTAAAGAAGCAGAAAATAATTAAAAATAAGGTCAACAGTCACAGTATACAAGAAAGTATAATTGCTTTAAGTAAAAATCTAATAAAAACACATAAAGTTTAGTATGTCAGTAAACAGTTTCAACCAAAAGAAGAAATTGTTTTTAAAGCCTGCACATTTTATAGTTATAGTAAAAAATCAAATAAAATAATAAAATTCTTATAGTTCAGTTAGTTTTAAAGATTTACTTCAGTAAAACGACAGAAGAAACTCTAGCAAAGAAAATCATATTTATTTTTAACACTTTATTTAAACTAAATATTATAAGGGTATGATATACCAGCACTATGTATTTTTGCACCTAGTGATTACTGTAAATAAAAGAACTGTAAAAAGGAGAAGAAAGTGAAGAATGATCAAATTAGATAAGTTAAGATAGTGTAAAAATTGTTCTTTTTGGTAATATATTTCATTTATAGAATGAAGTTTTCAAAACCGCAGTTAAAACTTTCCAACGTTCAAAACATGAAATGACTTTACACAAACAATGCATCTATATCATTATATATATATATTTTTAAAAACCAGTCTATAGGTTTTAAAGCCTTCAAGCCAATGCTCACTAAACCTACATTTTTCTGGCAGATTCTAATACTTGCATCAATCAATATTATGTTTATAAAAAGGGTAGATAATTAGTGATTTTTCAGAGAAATTGTGCATCAGTGTTTGAAGAATATGGCAAGAAGACTATATGCAACAGACCTAATGTTACCTGTTGAGGACACCATACAAGTCTTTATGATTGTAAAAAAAATATACTAAAAAACAAACTTGACTGTAATCTAAAAAAAGTGTAACAACATTAACCAATAAATATTTTAAGAATTTTATATTTTTAAAAGACATGAAAATAGATCTTTTTTTTTGAAGAACTTTCAAATTCTGGATATTTGTGTAATAAACCAAAATCCAAGAATTTTTAGGTTTTTACATTTTAAAAGCCAATCTTTCGTAGTGTTTGGTGATTTACACTGAATATAACCTCTACATTTTTAAAAATTCAGAAAATATCTAAAATGAGGTAGAAAAATAAATCAATTAAAAACAACATTATGCCATGTTAATGTGGCATCACCAAGTACTTAGCACAACTAAACATGATTAAATACACCCACTGGTGACGTAACAAAAATAACTTTGAGCTTAGCATAAGTATAAACCTACTCCTTTTGTTTTATTGCTAGATCTTATTTTATTCACATGCAAACAGAACACACAGAATGTTTCTTATACCAACATTGCACACAAACTTAAATAATGCACTGAATAAACAGTACGTCAATGGAATGAATTTACAACGTCTTCATTATTAGTCTCCATGATAATAATAATAAAAAAAGTTATTCTATCAAGATCTAATATGAATATTAGCGAATCCAAAAGAAATTCTTTCGAACTCTTGACTATCCAGGAGTGTTGTACAGGCAATTCTTTACTTGAAAATATCAGATCATATATACAAAATAAATCATAATACGTATATAAATATATTTCACGTCCTATTGCAAAATATAAACAGTATTTACACCTATAAGCATACCTGCACTCTTTCAACAGACAGCACCCAATCCTTTGCTTTTTTAACAGCATCACGTAGTGTCAGGACATTAGGAAGGTAAACAGGCACATTACAGGCTTCATTTACCAGTACTTCTAGGACTTGTAATCCTTGTTGAGGTCTGAAGATAAATCAATGAGTTTGTGTTAGTCATTTTGTTCATCTAACTTCTTTTCATCCAAATGCAACATTATGATCACACATTAGGTTTTTTTTATAGGGAGTACCATTTTTATAGAAAATCTGAATTCCATGCTTAAAATCTTCTTATAAAGTTTAGGAAAACACATGCAATGAAGAAACTCTGAAAGAACCTTTATTGATTCAAAATACTAAAAATCACAAAGTTCTATTTACAGTGTAATTACAAAGTTCTATTTACAGTAATTACAAAGTTCTATTTACAGTGTAATTACAAAGTTTTATTTACAGTGTAATTACAAAGTTCTATCTACAGTAATTACAAAGTTTTATTTACAGTGTAATTACAAAGTTCTTTTTACAGTAATTACAGTTCCACCATTTAAAGTAATTACAAAGTTTTATTTACAGTGTAATTACAGTTCCATTTAAAGTAATTACAAAGTTTTATTTACAGTGTAATTACAAAGTTTTATTTACAGTGTAATTACAAAGTTTTATTTACAGTGTAATTACAAAGTTTTATTTACAGTGTAATTACAGTTTTATTTACAGCTTAATTATAAAGTTCTATTTACAGTAATTACAGTTCCACCATTTAAAGTAATTACAAAGTTTTATTTACAGTGTAATTACAAAGTTTTATTTACAGTGTAATTACAGTTCCATTTAAAGTAATTACAGTTTTATTTACAGTGTAATTACAGTTCCATTTACAGTGTAATTACAAAGTTTTATTTACAGTGTAATTACAAAGTTCTATTTACAGTGTAATTACAAAGTTCTATTTACAGTGTAATTACTTTCACTATGGTATACACATTCTCTTAATAAAAAAAATTTTAGGAATGATATTTCGTATCACTGGTTTTACTTGCTCTGTACACATATTTTACAACTCATTTTATTAAGGTGGCAATTTCTAGTGTATAGATATATTATCTTAATAACAAAACAACAGAGTGCAAACATTTTTAGATTAATGCTTAGAAAAATTAATTGCATTGGGTAACAAATAACCGTCCAACCCAAACCTAGCTACCAATGAAAAACCTCACCAGAGGAACTACTTTTAACTCCTTCAATGAAAAGTTTATCATTTAGATTATGCTTGTTGTTGTGCATAACATTTGCTTCTATTTAATCTATTTATGTTACTAAAATATAGCTGTGGGAAGGTTTTAAATGTTTTCTTTTTCCTCCACGTGGTCATAAGCAACACACTACCAGCTAGTTTCCATGTTTTTATTTTTCCTGATTTTAATCAATGCATGTTTTATACTTATGGTAAGTTCAAAGTTACTCTGCAGAATATAAAAACAATCAGAAACACAGTAACAATAATCTTTAATGATTCTTTGCTTACTCTGATTTAGAACTTATAAACAAATTGTGCCTATAAATTGAACAATATCAATAAACTCAGTGACACCTGAAGAGTTTGTACTTACAATCTAGTCTTTAAAAATAAAATTTAGAAACATACTTGGCCTGTAAACAAGCTTTAGCCTTTTCTTCCCACCGTTCTCCAACAGTTAGCAATTCCTGAAGCTGGGACATGGATTTTTCTATGCTCGGATGAGGAGGAAGGTTCACTCCAGAGTCTAAGAGTTTTCTGAGCATGTCTAGTGTTACTTCCATTGGGTTAGCTAGAGTGGACTTCATTTCTTCCAGCCAGCGAGCTTGCAGGAGTTTCTAAAACACAAGATGAATTCACAAGAAAGGTTGAGAGTTTTCTGTATGGAACCTAAGACTTTTTTTTAAAATACGACTAGTATAAGCATCACTAAAACCTTTCATACAGTGGACCCTCTTCTTCAGTAAAAATACAAATACTTATTTTATTATTTTCCATTCTCTGTGAAATTATCAAGTGAGATTGGTATTATATTTCTATTACAACAAAAGTAATATTGTATTATACTATTTCTTGGGACATCCTTTATGCAGGATATGGAAAATAAATATGATTCTAGTTGCCTGCTATGTGAAATATGCTTCAAATTAGTCTCACCTATACCTGCAACATATTATGGGATGCAGTGCATCAAAAATTGGCTTTTTGAAACTGCACTCTGCACTGTACCTTTACACATACACACATACACGCGCCAACTGCCGGCTTTCAAAATTCACTCTTGGATTACAAGGCATCTACATTACACAGTTCACTCTTGGATTACATTTCAGGCATCTACATTACACAGTTCACTCTTGGATTACATTTCAGGCATCTACATTACACAGTTCACTCTTGGATTACAGTTTATCTTTGAATTTACGGTTTAATTACATATTATCCTTTTACTTAAAAACAAAAAAAACATAAGACCAATTCTGAATTCCATTATACACTATAATATTTAAGAGTATTAATCCATGATAAATTTTATAATTAGTGAGTATCAAACCAAGTAAACTTGTACAGGTTTCTTTCACACATTCTTACAAATTTCTGTTAGTATTAATAGTTTTTTTTCTAAATTAACTACATTAAAGGTTTAAAATAGGCTACATTGGTAATATTCAAATACATTTATAGCAAATTTTATATAACATAATAGTGATCATATATAATTTTTATCAACAGTAATAAGTTTTTACTTACATGTTTAACCAAAAGAACCTGAGGAAGATCTATGTCTAATGCTAAACCATTATCCAAAACTTTTTCTAGTTTCTTCAAATCTGGCATTTCTTGGTCCAAGAGCTCCTTGGCCTCCTTTTCAAACAGTGTCACCTGTTCTACCATATCCTGATTTTGAAAAATACACACAAAGCAGCTATTTTATGATTCTCAGAAATAAACACACATATAGACTACACACAAGTCAATAACTACCTTGATCAGCATTCATTCTTTTATACAGAGAGGAATGGTAATTATGATGGCCAAGTTATATGAAAATATGGCAGAGAGCTCCCAATGAATCTACATAGCATGGATATTTATAAACATGAACCTTATCAGCAGCGTGATCCGACTTTGTTTGGAGAGAAAGCCAAAAATAAGCCTCTTCCAAAACAATGGGCAGTAGTAGCTATACACAAAATACATTCTGTCATTGGCTAATCTAGAGACAACAGACAAAACCAGTGACACTGAATGCACAGTTTAGCTAACACTAATGTACTGTGTGTATATGTAAGGATGGAAGTGATATCTATAACAAAACATTGTCAATTTGTAAAAACACCGAGTTATAAAAATATTCCAGCCACATAAAGTGGAAATATCATACGCACAAACCACGTTACAGGAAACCACACAATTTACTAGTATTTTTAATATTACAGTAAGTATTATTATTATTATGAAAACGTGCAACAGTGTTCAAACTATTCTTATCTCTGTCAGCTGGAAACAAACACACAAGACGAGTAAAAAAAACAAATGAGGCAAACTTTGCCTGCACTTTTTTAAAACAATGCATACTTGCTTGATGTAGGCCAAGCTTTCCCCAGTTGTTTCTTCTAACTTGTCTTGCATCTGATATTTCCACTTTATATGGGTGGGCTCTTTTTTCACAAAGACAATGTTTTTGTGATAAATATACATATACAGACAACACATAAGACAAGGACAACTTTACCTTGATCATCATTCCTTCTTTAATTTCACAAGGAAGTTTCTGTATCTGTTCATAAAACAACTGAATTTCTTCTAATGTAAGCTGGGACCCATACTTGCTGTCCACTGATTGTCTGTTTCTGAAAAAAAGAAATCATTTTGCTCAACTTCTTGTGAGAAAGTGACACTAAATTCATATTATAAATATAGCTTAAATAGGCTTGTCAAATAAAACATATTTCCTTTGAAAACGAACAGGCTAAAGATTCACCGCTATGATTTATTATATACAAAACCTAAAACAATTGTTTCTTCAACAACACTACAAAATATCTAATGAAACAATTTCTTCACAATATACTATATACTTAGTAAAAAAACTAATTTACAAATAATTGTAAAAAATTACAAGTCTAAATCACAGTTGTTTAGCTAAATACACATTTTTAGTGTTAGCTAATTCAAAACAAAATATGCTAAAAACAAAAATAGAACCAGTATCATTCTACTCAATTGCTAAGTTAAACATGTCATGTCTCTTCCAGCCAGCAAATTTTTTATTCACACACTACAGCCAAGCATGTAAAAATTTTTGATTTTAATATACACATCAGAGATAATAAATGTATTTCAAAGTTTCTGATACTAAACCATAAATCTGATACTGAACAAGTTTCTAACTCTCAACTCACCTTGTTCTAACTTTCCTACTCAGAAGTTGCTGAGCAAGAGATGAAAATTTCTCAGCATCTTGAACGACATCTTCTAATGCATCTAGCAGCTCCATTTTAGGAAATTTGTTGATTTCTGCTTCTTGTGTCAGTTCCTTTAATCCCATAATATCTGTAATCCATCACAACAAACAAATCACTAAAAAAATATTTTGAGTATCCAATTCAATTTTCCCTCCCAAATACTAATAATACTTTTACTACAGCAGTTGTAACTAATGAAATAAATTCACAATGTATAAGGTATAAACTCAACATTTTTTACAGCTATATAAGAATGAAATTCAAATAAAGCACAAATTTCAATTTGTATTAACAAGTACGCTACTTTCTTACCATAAAACCTGTCCATTTTGATGTATGCTTGATATGATTGAAAAAAATAAAAAATAAAAATCAACTTAGAATATTTACAAACTTAGCAAAATTATCCAATACAATGGACATACATGTATACAATCAAAACCTTAGGACTTAACAATTAAACTCTTTTTTTTTTTTTCAATACTTTGTGTCTAGGGTCACAAAAACCAACTAGCAAATGCATTTCTTAAATCTTCTATTGGTAGCAAAAACAATATCTATTAACATCCAAAAATTAAGAGTAAAAATTTAAACCAATACACAAAAACGACAATTTACCATGATCTTTGAACTTTACAGAATAGAACAGTAAAATATTTTTGCTCATCCAAGACGGAAAAAGAAGCTGACAAAAGAAAACTCATCAACAAATCAAATACCATTTAATGTGACAGATGAATTTAAGAACCACCAGCTTACCTAGTTTTTCATCTTCAGGAGCCTCTAGAGCATTTTGTACTCTGATAGTCCAATTATCAAAAGCTTCTGCTCTCAGTTTCAAACGCTGCAGCATTACTGGTAGTTCGTCGAGCGTGTAGCGGTATCTGATGAGAAAAACATATTACTGCTATCAGAAAACAAAACTAATTTATGGACACACCACCTATAAAATTGTAAAACAATATCAAATTATTTATTTCATTCTGAATAATTACTCAAACTACAAGTAACTAAGCTAATTTTTTACACACAAGTAGCAATCAATAATTAAATAAAAGAAGGTTTTTGGATTTGAAAGGTAATAAACTTTATAAAAAAAATATTCCAAAGTGCAGTTCATAGACTTGTTTGTAAACCTATAGAAGGTACTTTTAGAACAAAATAATACCTTAAACAATGTTTGCTTGGTGGACAACAGCACAGTTTTTCCTTGTGATTGATACACACTAGCTTATCTGAAAAACAGACAAAACAACTTTCAAGTAACTGGAATACAAATATTGTACAGGTACACAGTTGTAAATTTCTTTATTTAAAATAAAAATTCTGTAAAATGGATACTTTAACTTATGCTTAATATAAAGTGTGAATTTACCTTTTGATTTTTCTTCACTTTTACTTTTCTTATCTTTGCTGTACACTATAACACATAATCAAATCTATTTTTTACAATCTGAATAATGTTTATGCACCAATTCATATAAATAAAAAAAAACCATAAGGTACACATACGATACACTAGAAAATAATTATCATTACTAAAAATCCACTACTGTGAGAATATTTACTAAAAATCCAATACTGTGTGAATATTTACTAAAAATCCAATACTGTGTGAATATTTACTAAAAATCCAATACTGTGTGAATATTTACTAAAAATCCAATACTGTGTGAATATTTACCAAACATGTACTACTGTTAGAATTTTTACTAGAAATCCACTAATATGTGAATCTTTTTATCATTTCAAGTTTTAAATGAGCCTTAATTCTTCTGGAAATAAAAATTTTAGAATAAAAAAACTGACTGTAAATAACATGATCTATAATTTTTAAAAGTACAAAAATAGCTTCTGTTTATATACAGTTATTAATAAGAATTTGCGAGTGAAAGTAAAGTATAGAATAATGTCATTCACACCATCTCTGCTACAGCCAGTGACAATGAGGATTTCTGCCCAATATCAGGGCTCTTCAGACCAGCTAGGATATACAAACAAAGTACTAGCAGAGACATTGTTTATATTAGCAAATTGCTTGACAATAATTGTTACAGTGTGAACTGAATTAAGTTAGAGAAGTTCAATTTTTAATAAATCTATTTAATTCCCTACACATCATAATCAGGGTAATGAATTTTTAACAATATATCAATTTTTAATGTTAGTATCAGACTGAGAAATGAAAAACAAATATATCCAAAAATTTATTTAAACCAGGTTTTTCTTTCATACAGCAAAACTTCAACAGCAGATTCTCCAACTTAGCAAATGATCACAACTTAGGACTTACTAGTGTCACACGAACAGGTAACAGCAGAGAGGAAGCACGTAGTTTTACAGTAATCACACTGACGCTCATCATCTGGTAATAGTTCAAATGCTTCACGTTCAGCCTCAGTCACACCCTGAAACAATGCCACATTTTATAAAAGTATCTATTGATATTGAAAAATACTTCTCTGTTGACATTTTTTAGCACCCCTTTTTTTAGTATAATTATGGGAGTCAAAATTAGCTTCAATAGAAAAAAAAAATCAGGTTCGTCAACAAAAAAAAAAGTAGCCTCAATAACTACCAAAAGCTGTGGTAAAACGTGAAAATTAAAAAAATAATGAAATAAAAACTAAGTGGCCAACATTATAGCCAACTAATGATTGTTTGGCCAAAACACTGACCAAATAATTCCCCTTATTGTGATTTTAACCACTTCTTTAATAAACAAAAAAACAAAACCAAAGAATATCAGATATCCACTGAAAATTTTACACAAACAGGTTCAACTTACTGATACTTTTCTTCAAAACTTTATTCTTTTGATTAATAATATGTCTTATAAAAGGCACTTCTTTGATTCAGCTTATCATTTCAGAAAAACCCACCCACCCATTCAAGAAGGCATTTTCTTAATTCCTTTTCATCTTCCACCATCTTCTTCATGTCCTGGAAAGTGGCAGCAGCAATACTGATTTCTAACCTTTCTGGATCTGTTGCCATCTTACAAACTAGCTCATCATGAGAGAATACACAGAAACGATGGAGAAGACTGTAATGGGAGATACACAGACGTCCAATTGACAGCTGTAGAAGTTTAAAATAAGTAGCAGGTTTAAAAACAATTATGCTCCATTCTCCAAGAAATACAGATTAATCTAACCCCCCCCCCCTAAAAGGACATTTAAGCTTCAAAACTATCACTTTAATATTATGTAAATAATTTCAAAATTTGGAAATTTGTAAAAAAAAAGTAAGATACAAGAGATACTTTAAAAACAAGTAAAGAAGTTTTTCATCTTTCAATCACATGGTGATAAATGAACAAAAGCTCCTCAAAGCAGACAATGGATAAAATACAAAAACCAGGCTAAGTTCTACAAGAAAGGTGGCAAAAAACAACCTGCCAGACCAAGATAACTAATGGACTGATCAAAGTATAATTTCCACTAGTGGACAACACTTTCATAAACTCTAGAGCTGAGTAGTCATAAATTTACAGAAACTGACCTAATACTGAAATATGATCTATTACTTACAGATATTCACTGTACTTATAAACGACTACCTATTACTGAAGTATAACCTTAGGAGTGATCAAATCAGGAGAGACAACCTGTTACAGAAGGATAACTCTAGAAGTGATAACCAACATAAAAATAAATTACCTTTTACAGAAGGATAACTCCAGAAGAGATAACCAGCATAAAAGAAATTACCTCTTACAGAAGGATAATTTCCAGAAGCAATAACCAACATAAAAATAAATTACCTGTTACCAATGGATAACTTCAAAAGTGATAACCAACATAAATAGAAATTACCAGTTACAGAAGGATAACTCTAAGAATAACCATCAATTTAAGAAAGACAACCTGTTACAAAAGGATAACTCCAGAAATGGTAATCAACATAAAAATAAATTACCTGTTACAGAAGGCTAACTCTTGAAGTGATAACCAACATAAAAAGAAATTACCTTTTACAGAAGGATAATTTCTAGAAGCGATAACCAACATAAAAATAAATTACCCGTTACAGAAGGTTAACTCCAGAAGTAATAACCAACATAAAAAGAAATTACCTGTTACAGAAAGATAATTCCAGAAGTGATAACCGACAAAAAAAGAAATTACCTGTTGCAGAAGGATAACTGTAGGAGTTACAATCAACTTAAGACAGAAAGAAGACCAGTTGAGAGTGATCATGAAATGCCATGTTGATGATGAAGGATGACTAAGAAGAAACAAGAGTACACTAATCTTTTAGTGGATAACATCTTTAAAAAATGCCTAGAATACATTCTTACTTCAGCCTCAACTCAAAGCAAACTTTTATGGTAAATCTAAAACAACAGCTTCCACTCCTTCAATTGAAGGGTAAAAAATTATATGACATCTGCCAGCCTGTTCAAGTAGGAAAAAATGGTACAGATAAAATGTGCAGTTCAAAATCATTTTCTCATAACAAAATAACATTACCCAATCAGCAGGGCAAAAGTTTACAGCTTCTGCAAAATTGTAGCCTTGATTGAATCCAGCATGATAGGAGCGTGGAAACGTAAGTACAAATTCTCCGGCTTGTTGATCCAGTCTATAAATCTGCGTAACCAAACAACGAAATAAAAATTAGAATATAAACAATGCCACTGACACATCATAATTTCTATACAAAGCTATAAACTTTATTCCAAGAATTTATTAATGATTAACATCACAAAGATAACAGATACATTTTATTATAATTTATAAAATTTTCATATAGTAATTACTCAAAAGTCCGTAGAAATGACTGCAGAACAAGTGACTGTTTAGTTTGGTTAGTATGTTGTTGTTTTTTATTTTATTGCATTTTTGAAGGTTATAGTAATATTTAATTCTAAAGACCAACAAAGCCACTATCAATTGTCATGACATTTCAACTGCTCCAAGGCAACTAACCAGAAAAAAAAGAGCACTCTCTAAACACAGTTTACCAAACTTAGGTTAAACCTAAGAAAGAGCAGAGTTTTAAAGTGCTCATGATAAAGCCCTCACACACACAGTAGATCTCGACTGTGTACATGTGTTGACTTTATATTAACTTTTTTAATTTGAATAGTTGAGGTAAAGATTTTTTATTTCTGTTGTTAAAGTTCCCAGTCAGCATCAAGAGACATACACTGCACTAAGATACAGGCATATAGCAAGCAATTTAAATGTGTTTAGGTGTGTAATAACAGCTTACGAGTTATGGTGCAGTACCATTTTGTATCATGAAAACAAAAAGGTCTTATTAGCGCTACAGAAAGAATAATAAACAATGCATTAAAATTTAGAAATGGTATCATAACATTTTTCAAATGTAGATAAACTAAATTTCTTTACAATTTTTGAACAGCAACAAATATTTTTAAAGATTATTTTTTGATAAATTCATTACAAAGTTAATCTACTCATTGTCCTGGAATTCCTTGAAGAGAAGTACTCTCCCAAACTGTACTGAAGATTTTGGTACATATTAGGGCCAATGATAGTGCCTATGCATCCATGCAATCAGAGGGGTCCTCGAGATTCAAGTTGGCCCCTAACTTAGTACCACAAATCATTTTTATGACATATTATAAAATTTAAAACTTTTAAATTTCAGCAATAATTATATCTTTTTATTTAATATATCTTGCTTAATAAGGGAAACGACAGCCCAACAGCTCATAAAACAAACCTGTAAGTATTATTGCAGGCATGAGTCAATTACGCTATACACAGGACTTTGGGAACATTTTCAAGGGCCGTCTCAAAAGAATGTGTGCAAGTGTTCCATGGTTGAACTTCAAAGTCTAGCAACAGTTCTTTCAGACACATTTGATGTTTTTGAAATACTACACTTTAAGTGCAAAATCGATTTAATAGGAGTATATAGTGCAATGTGCACATTGCTCTCAAGATGCTACTTACATCTCCAGTGACTGTTGCATCTGTTGAGACTGAAATTAATTTAAACTTGAGATAGTCCATTTCTCAGGATCTTGTTAGAGTTGACCACACTGTCTATCAAAATGGATGTTGCAAGAAGGTTTAACTTCCAGAAAGATGAAGAAGTTTTAACAAGGGCTATTAAAAAATAAACTGTCACACTCCACTATATAAGAAGCATGTGAATGCAAAACATATATTTCTAAGTAAGACATATTCCCTACTTCCACACCAAATTTATGTGATGAAATGACTCTACAATTGAATACCTTGCAGAAAACCCTGCTATATACATAATACAAAACTAAACTTCACGAGGAGTGGATACATGATACATTTAAGTATCTTGCAGAGGACCCTATTATAAACATAATACGAGACTCAGAAGAAGTGGGTACCAGATTTGTCACACCCTTAATGTACAACCCTTACTACAACCACATACTTTTATAACAGTTAGGCATGGCCTTTCAACATGGCTTCATAGATTAAGTCTTTTCTCTATTGTCTCATGTTACTCATTGAGCAAAAACTAATTTTTGTTTTCAATTAAGCAATGTTAAGGTGTTCTAAGAAGTAAAAAATACAACTGACATAATACAAATAAATTCAGGGTGGGAGGTAGGGACTTGCAATGAAACATTATTGAAGAGAAACACTAATAACTTACGGGAACCCTTGAAGCCATAAGAATATTTGGGTTCATTATTGTAACAAGCTGGTGAAGTAAATCCGGTTGAGTTTCAAAAAGTTCTGGAGCAGCAGCCTTCATAGAATTCTCAAAATCTTCAGCTTTATCTCCAGGTACACCATACCATGTCTTAGGTTCTCCCCTGTTTTCAAAACCAGGCGTGAATAAAGTACAAGTTGGATAAAATGTCTTTCTCTTTACCATTACACTCATATATTTGTTAAATACAAGCAGAAAGATCAGACTAGTACAAGATCTGAAAATAATTATATCCAAAGAAGCCAGTTTCAATACTGATACATTCCTTTTATTTACTTCAGTATTTTCTAGAGATTCATAGACTCAGTAATCGAAAAGCTGCAACTTCAAAATCAAAATATATTTTAAACGAGCCTTTACAAGCATCTGAAAATATAATACTTATCCAAACATTTCAGAATTTTGTTTACGAGGTCTTCTCAATTTATTAAACAATTTTTTTTAAATGACACCTTAGCATTATAATATGAACCACTTAGTTACTGGATGATATCAAGCCTTCAGGCTCTTCCTGTTATATTATTTACAATAACATAACTACTTATCTATTACAAACTTAGGGTGAAAATTCTTAATCAATAACACAGTGGTAATGATGTTGATGTAGCATTGACTGCATACAGTAATTATGATACAGCCATACAATGTGTAAAAGTGATCCACAAAAGTTTAGTTTCCATTGTATTCCTTACTATTTTAATGCCAGACACAATGATAAACAGAAAGTATTTTGCTTTCATCAAAATATGTACTAGTTTTTGCATGAATTACAATGTTTAACTATGTGATTTTCACTTTTCTGTTTCCCCCAGTACATGTACAGCTTGAACTTTCATACCTTAATATTACTTCTCATAATGATATAATGTTAAGAAACTATTCAGTAAAACTGTTTGCTTATCAAAGATATTTAATTTTGTTTGTTTGTTTCTAATTAAGCACAAAGCTGCATAATGGGCTATCTGTGTTGTGCCCACCACGGGTATCAAAACCCAGTTTCTAACATTATAAATCTGCAGACTTACCACGTGCCGCTGGGAGGCAATTCAGCAAAATGAAAAACTGATTACAACAAAAGGCAAATGTTTAATCTGAACCATGAAAACTATCTCCCCTATGAAACATGTTCACTGAAATTAAACACAAGTTCAATCTAGCATATTCCTTACCAATGAAGATAGTTGATGGAATAGCTCCAATGGTCTTCATTGTGCCAGCAAAATGTAGCAAAGCACATCCCAACATAAACCCATGGAATCTGTAAGACCAAAGAATACATCTAGTTACTGGAAAATCTCAAGCACTCTTTGAAGGTAAAGAATTTAAAACATTTATTCTTAAGCTTAACAAATCATCCAAATAAACACTGTTGATTTAAAAAGTAAATTATCTTGTTGGAGAAGACATCTCGATTTATTCGTATCTTTCAACTTTGGTAGTCATGTACTTTTTTATTGTGCTAAGTCACCTTTTTTATCGCTTACTACAATGCTTACTCATCATTCCTTCAACAAAATTCAAAATGTATACATCTCTCAAAACAATACATCCTTTTAGTAAAAATTACAAATCAAAATTGGGGGTACCTAAGAAACAAGGTGAAACACTGAAATGCTGTGCAACTATAATAAACATTATTTTGACAATAAATAAAACATCTAAACACTCAACAATATATAAGAAAGTGAGTTTTTATATTGAACAGCAGAACCATCACATAATTACTGCAGCAGTGCAAGAACCACAGTAATTATCTACAACTCATTCCCAATTTTTTTTTATACATGTTATAGAAACCAAAGGTAAAGATATGTGAAGCATTTCATAAAACAGACATTTAACTTGCTTTAGAAACAATTGTGATTTTAACAACCCTGGTACTTAACTTCAATTTTTATTAATTGATAATCAATGACAAAAAGGTGATGAATAACTAATATCACATTTCAAGAAAAAAAAAAAGTATACAAAAATACAGTAAATAATCTATTTTATGCATACAACATATTTCTGAATCTTAGCTTTCAAACACATCTATGACAAAATTTTGCATTTACCAGCTATAACTACTAACATATGGTAATAATATGAACAAATGAAATCTATACCTTCATTCCATTTATATCAGCATTAATGTGTTTCAAAATCGAGTTTTCCAAGACAGGAAGATTGTTGAGGTTCCAGCCTGAATTAATATATTCCTACAGAAAATTCCACAAGAAAGATATAAGTGTCAGTAAAACAATGAACTGAATTTGTAAAGATTTACTTCACCATTTTCTCGAGGGAAAAAAATCTTGAAAATGCAAAAATCTATATTTTAATTCAAACAATCTGTCTAGGTTAGACTAGTTCTGGAGAATAACACCATTAGTAGCCTTGGGCTAGACTAAATTAAAAGACATTGATCAGGCTACATTTAAGCTAGTGGATTAACAATGTACTATTTAAATAACCTTAATGATTGTTTTTAGTAAAAAGAAGAAAAAAAAAAGCTGACAAATTAATAGTGTATAACTATTATTACAGGCATATTAATCAAGTCTACAATATAATAGTTTCTTGTGTTATAGCATCTTACTACTGGTGAAACTATGAAAATAATCCAGGAAATAAAAAGAAACTCACTTCCTCTCCAGGTACGGAACACTTGTTGGTTTTTGTGGGAAAGCCCGAACCATGTTCAAGGGTATGTATATCTGCACCATATTCAACACACACGTCTTCATTTACTGCTCTTACTAAACGCCAAAACTCTTTCTCAACCACTGAAGTAGGAACCAACTGGAAAAATGAACAACTAAGTTATTTATCTACAAAGTAGTTTCTTTTTCATAGCATTTTTAAAATGAATTAAGACAACTTCAATAACCTAACACATTGTAGTATTACCTACCACACCACATTTTGTTACTTTAATAAAGTCTAAAACAAGGTAAGCATTATATTAGAGTGGCATAACTATGTTTTAAACCATTAAAAAACTTTTAATTTACTGGAGATGATTTTAATTTTGTTTTTATGTTTATACACAATTTATTTTTTCCCAGACAGGAGAAAAAAATACCAAATTAACACAGGGTAAAAGAATTCCATGATCACTTCTTCCAGAATTGCTATTTTCTTAACTGTAACTATGTAATTATAACTTTCCAGAATCAGCTGTTGATCATGAGTAGATATAATTAATTTAAATGTTCACATGTACACCTCCCAAATATTCATTCAACATCAATTTGTATATTTATCCACTAGACTTCTTCTTATTAATGACTATCATAAAACTTTATGATGCAACTCAAATGTTGTAGTGAATTAGTGTGAACATTATGTACCATTATAAATTTGTATTAATTTCATTTTGAATACACAAATAAATTTTATTTTAGTTCTTGCAAGACACATGAGAAATATAAAAATATATTATAGATAATGCAACTTCCTCACATGAGATGGCATATTAAAGTAATCTGATTTGAACTGATCAGCCATTTCTCCAAATTCCTGAAGTGTATACTCTCTTTTTGCTTGCTCAAACCCAAATGCTTCATGGGGCTTCTGCACTACCTGAAAAACAAGTGAAAAATGAAACTTTTAAACTATTGTATATAAGATGGGTCTTTTTGACAGACCATGTAACCATGAAACTATGCATGCTGCAACTTTTAATGTATAAAAATTTGATAAGCTTTTAGTACACATTAAAAGTTTTTTGTATAAAAAAAATAGATTTTTTTAATTTAGTATTTCTTATTAAAGATATTTCTGTGAATTTACAAAGCCTTTATTGACTCAGTTCAAATGTTTTACACAACTTTTATTGAGTCAGTTCAAGTGCAAGGTGATTTTCATGTTAATAGTAAAAATACTTTTTCTTCATCATACAGTTTTCATATTTCATTTGCACAGCCTCTTAGTTGAAAATCAATTTTTTTTTCAGAAAAACTTTATATCTTATCCATTATTTTCTCTACCCTAACACCATGTTTAGTGAATCCGGCAATACAGCAAAATAAAAAATTGAAAAAATATGAAATAACTCTAAAAAAAAGTATCCTACTTTCTTTCTAGCATGATTGCACATTGTAACAGACTGTTTATTGTTACAGCCAAATCTAATACTATTCAAAACATCACTCACTCATTTTATTGTTTACAGCTGTACTTTACACTATCATAGTAAGGGAAAAGCTATTGTCACAGTAAGATAGTTTTTTGTAAACAAATAATCAAGTTACCAGCACGCTCATCGAATTCAACAATCACGGTATCACAAACATTTTGTTTCACTTAAAATTTCTTGGCTAACCTAACAAATTTCCAACATTCATATATTAGTGACTTTTATATCAAATAAATAAAGATTTACAAAAAAATTAGAAATTTAGTATTTATGTCTGGGCTCTTGTTTCTTGCTTAATAAATACATAAAATATAATATCCTAAAACACTATAATTAATCTGGCTCTCTAACTAAGTTATGAGTGGGTTAAAATAGTTATGTTAGCTGGCTGAAATGATCTCAGCAATAGCAACAGTAAAACTGTAGGCCTAATAATGAAAAAAACTGTCATCAGAACGATGTAGCCTTGTATGGCATTTAGTAAATTAAAATTTTCTCTTCCTATTGGTTAAGAATAATCCAAAAGCATATGTCACAAACAATTATTTACATTTTTTGAAAGGCAGGATGTGATTGGATGGGGGTGGAGTCATGGTGTGAATTTGAATTTCTTGAGTGCATCTCAGTAAATCAAGAAGATTGGGAGGTTATAAATTTACACTATGGTTTAGAAGTATCAATAAGTGTGTAATTAGTGCCAAACTTAGAGGTTAATATAGGGATAGGTAGAAAATCTAAAATGGGTAACTTGGATTAAAGAAGTGTCACTTCATACAGAGAAATGAAGATTGAGGATTTCTTTAAATACTTCCTTTCGAAATTAAGAAAGTAAAATTTATATAATATTAAAATTTGAACTATAACCTACATCTTGATGCCAAGTTTATGAACTATATTGGTAATAAACTTGTGTAATTCATTTTTGAACATACCTCAGTAAAAGGTCATAACATGTACTTTGACCCATTCTGATATTATAGGGTTAATATCATCAAATAACATGAAATATTTTCAACTTAACATAATTTTGTAAATAGTACAATTTTCATAAAATTCTGATTTCTTGGATATTCTTCAATACAACATCAGTAATGAAGTGTAGGTGTATCATGTGTATATGTAAATGAAAACTCAACGAGATATACTTTTTACGTACCTCTGCAACACACCGTGGACATCTCCAGTCTCCTTTAGGTATTTCATGCAAAGGTGGAACAAGGCAGAAATTGTGGTAGCTGTCATCACATCCATCACAGAGCAACATATTGGCTTCAGCATCTCCTCGTCCACACACAAGGCATACAATGAGATCAATCTAGAAAGAAAAAAAACCTCAAGCACAACTCAAACCTTTAAACAGGGAGAAGAAAAAGCTTTTTTTTTTTACAATCTATGGAAGAAAAGTTTTAGCTGCTTTTTTTGACAATCATGTAAGTTCTATCATCTGACTTTACTTTGGTACCAATTTCAAATAACATTTATTTTTAACATCCAACCGCTTATAACATCATTAAAATTTTCTTAATACCAAACTCACAAAATTAACTGAATTACATAAACTATCACATTACAATGAACATATAGCATGAAAAAAAATTGTTATATATCAATTTGTAAAAATTTACTGTGATTTCAAGTATGAATCATGTAGACACTAAGTAATATTTTTCTTATGACTAATTTTATACAACAAAATCTTTATTTCAAGAAACATTTTATTACTACTTATCAGCAATAAATTGTAAATCATGACCTTAGATTTATCTTATTATTTAACAAATAAAACTATGTTAATCAAAATTTATGCTTATCACACAATTAGACAACACTTAATCCAGTTCTGTCAGACTTATTAATTATTTAGGAAACTTTAAATCGTTTCAGCCGTTCTCTGTCAATCAGCTTCTCCCTTTCTTTCTGCGAGTGTGTTGCAAAAGAGAGAAAATCTAACCATGTTTCATGAAAATCCAAGAAAATTGTCCCGATTGTCTCAAAACATCAAATGTCACTATATAAACAAACCTAAGCAATGTAAACTGAAGTAACAACTTTTAGCATGAAAGTTCTTTTAAATACTTTAGGTATTTTACTCAAAATCAAGCACCTTATAATTATATATACATCATCCAAAAGTACAGCTAACAGACTTTCTGGTGGCATCAACGGTTCTTGTACAGCTTGTATTATTGAAAATAATTTACATTAAGAACTAATAATTAACTACAAATGCACAAGTTTATTCCTATTTCCTTACTTTCAATACTATTTAACACACACAGATGAGTCTCTATTTTGTGTGCATAAAACTTGACAGTAAGAACTATTTTAATTCCATAAGACTGATTAACAAGCAGTCAATTTTTTTTATGAGTAGTGCAACTTGATTTCATATAATTTTAAAATCTCACCACAATACTTCAATCAACAGACCTGTCTAAAAACTAAGAGCCAGGAAACATTACAAGTTCAAAATGATGATTAAGTGATTATTATTATAACAGGTAGTAAACATCAATATTTTAGTTTCCAAACATTTTTTTTCATGATAATAATTCTTATATTCTTTGTAACACAATATAATTATACTTAAGTAACCACAAACAGTTTCACATTCTGATTCTTAGTCTTCCAACTTTGTCTTAATACAAATATTAACAGATCCACAAGGCTAAATTCAACTTACCGTATTGCCCCTAATTAATACCCCCTCTCTGATTATCGTCTCCCCCCCACAGTATTGTTATAAAGCTTACCTTGCATGACAGCAATAGTAATCCAACATATAATCCACTTTTACTACCACCATTTTGATTTGAACAAAAAGAAGAAAAACAAACACACACACTTATTAGCATTGATATCAACAAATCAAATGTGAAAAATAGAATCCAGAACTGCACAAATACTATAATTAGTACCCCTCATCCTCGTTGCAGTTTGCAATGCCCCTGGGGACATTAATTAGGAGCAATACGGTACCTGCAGGTAACTTAATCTAATAACATAAGTGCATCATGATGCATCTACATCTTCTCAATATAATACCACTACTATAACTTGTTCCCTAAATTCAAACCACACTTTTCTATACTCAACCACCACTACAGCTACAAAAGCAACAGTAGAAAAAAAAATTGTCAAAGATATCTTGCAAGAACTTACTGGATTAATTTTTCCTTTTAATTTACCAAGATTATATTGAGATGACAGGAACAATGATGAAAAGCCATGCTCTCTACCTATAAAACAAAAAAAATGGTTTGTGAAGATGTCAAATGGCAACAACATAAGTCATTCATTTGATGCTAAAAAACAACACTGGTCTACTATATTATGAGCAGTATTTTTTTATGTACTTAACCTTCCACAAACATGTTACAGCTACACACATTCACACTATACATTAATAAAATGTTTCTCCAACCTTTGTTCAAAAACATTTAGTTTTATCTATGCAACTCTTATAATTAAACAACACATAGGTCATTAATAATCCTGTATAACCTACATAAGTTCCTAATGCTTTGCAAAATAAGTAATTCTTATTCTATTAAAAATATTGATGAGCAACATTTCTGAAATATATTATCCACATGACAGTTAATGTATTTTTTGCTATATACTTAAATGCTTGGCAGCAATTCAGTTAAGAGCTCCTGATTAAAAATAAAATAACTTAAAACTTTGGAAGTTTTGGCACAGAAAATGGAAGAACCAAATTCAGATATATGGCTGATATATTACAAAAACAACATAAACAGTTTCTTTTACATATACACCTTAAAGTAGGTTGCAGTACAAGACAAAAGTCAAAACAAACATTTTTATTTTTAGATAATTCATAATGCTCCTAAAATATTTCTGAACAAACAAAACAAAAATATAAGACTTTGTAGAGTATGTACCAAAAAATAGACTAACAACTTAGGTGGGTTATGAGTAAGGGAAGTTGATAACTACTGCCTTAACTCTCTCGCTGCAAGGTCAATTGAATTGACCAAACTTGTAACCACTTTTTATTTGTTATTGTTTCAATACTATAACAGTATGTGCATCTTCAAACATTTGGCAGACTTTCAGTAAACAAGTCTTCTGTACACAAAAAATCAGATTTTTTAATGAAGTATTTTTACTAAAGATTTGTCAGTGAATATATATATAATTTTTTACTATTCTAAGTGCAAAGTAATTTCCACGTTAACATTAAAAATACTTTCCAATGTCTCAAAAATCTCAAATTTTATTTGTATAATCTCTAAAACCTCCTAAATAAGTTTCAAATGTTTTTTCAGTAAAACTTTATATTCTATAACCACCAAAAAAAAACACGAAATAATTCTAAATTAACCATTTTTCTTTCTAGAATGACTTCAAACTGTAACATGAAACAACATTTGTTTATCCTAAATAGCTTTAAACTTGTAACAGTATGCATCTATTTATACTTAAATGTTATTGTTTTATTGCCCTTTGAAATTGTCTAACTACTATTATTGCCATTATAAGTTGTAAATCACTTGACAAATGTGCAGCTAACATTACTCTATCAAATAACATTATGCACAAACTACTCACGAACTGCTCACAAGTGTATCTCGTTAAAATTTTAATTATTATTTATTTTACCTAATCTAACCTTAACTAACATAAAAAAATTTCTATTTTTAACATTTGTTACTTTTATTATAATAAATAAAGAATACACATGAAAAACAAAAGTACTTACCTGGGCCTTCTTTTTTTTTTGCTGTCAACTGTTGAGAACATTTAACCCTACTATTTTTTTATACAAACGGTAGTACTGCACTAAATATTTTTTTTATTTAATTAACCCTTTTGTGACGGGCTCAGTATAATATATACGAGTTAAGTATTTATACTATAACTTTGAATGCAGTAAGTGTATCTTCACAAAATTTGGTAGCCTTTTAGTAAACATTACAAGTCTTTCATACATGAAAAATAATATTTTTTAGAAAAGTATTTTTATTATAGATTTGTTTGCGAAAATATCAAGTCTATTTCATTACCAGTCCAAGTGTGAAGTGATTTTCATATTATAAATAAAAATCTATTGTTCTTCCCAAAAATTTAAAATATTATTTGTATAATCTGTAAAGCCTACTAAATACATTTCAAATGTTTGTTTTCACTAAAACTTTATATTTTTTTCTGTTATTTTCTCTACCCTAACTCTATGGAGTCTGTCAATTTGACTGGCCTCGTTACCACCAAAAAAAATTAGGAATTAAATTTAAATTATGCAATTTTCATTCTAGAATGACTACAACATGAAAATACAAATGTTTATTCAGAATAGATTAAATCTCACACCATTATACATTTATACATATTGACCTTTCAGCCAACAATAAAGAAGTTACAATGATGCAGCACATGTGCACTCGTGATATCAGAACCATATAAAATATAATTTGGCCTTTACAAAGTGATCCGTCTTGGCTGTGTTTTAGTGGTAAGTATTTTATATAATACAGTCTCATTCCAATTATTATACATTACTTACGTATATACATTAATACTATTTACAAATAAGTTCTTCAACTTATTTTTCTTAAAACATAGAACAGTAAATAAAGTAAAGCAAACAATTATATCTTCTAGTTATGACCTTTGTACTCATTTGACTTGTCATAGGTTGCTAAGCCTTATGAAATTTCTTGCAAAGAGGATGTGAAAAGAAAATGTTTTTTAGGTTTTATATATACATTTTAAATAACCCAAAATAATCATAAGTTACTATATCGATACCATAGAATTCCATTAGAATTTATGAAGTTTAGTAACTAAGCTGTATTTCAGTCTAAAAAAATATGAAATTTAGAGCAGACTAAAGACACAACCTACCTCCTTGAAATCCTGTTTCAAAAGAACAAGATGATGTCCTAACACATGAAAATGGATGAGAAAGCAACTAGGGGGAAATTCTTTCAATTGGTTATTCATTTCATATATAGAAGTAAGGGTAATTAAGGAAGCATTTACAAAAATTGAAAGATGTGGGCCGGGGACTACTGTGTTTGATTTAGTACATGAGCAATATCTTAGCAAATACAAAAGATGAGAGGTTCTTATTTTATATTCTAGCTTGTCAATATCGGTAGTTTGACATCACAAAAATTGATGTTTAACTGTGCTTTTTTTAATATTTACTTTTAAATTAAGAAATACACTAATGTATAATACTAAAATACTAAATTATGATCTACAATTTGATACCAAACTTATTGATAAAAATTCATAAAATAGTAGTTCAATAAAATTTCGAATGCAAGTCAACAAAAGT